AAAACAAACAAAGAAATAAAAAAATAAAATAATAATAAATGAAGTAAATATAAAAAATAAATAATTGCATACATAAATACACATATATGTGTATATATATATATATATATATATATTACGCACAATAAAAAAAATATATATATGTTATATTTAAAGTATTTTAGTATACTTTAAATATATAGTATACTTCTACAGTATACTTGTCTGAGTTGATTCTAACTTTAGAATAATTAGAATTTAAGTAAGAAAGAACAAACACTTGCATGCAAATATTAGTGAAGGAGAGAATAAATGTCAAAGCAAATATAAATCACATTGTGGTTTCTGGCTGACTGTGTTTATCTGTTACTTCAGAAAAACTCTTGGTATATAAAGTATTTCATTAAAGAAAAAAAAAAAAAAAAAAAAGTATTTATTCAAGAAATAAATATTGGTAACGCTTTATTTTAAGGTGTCCTTGCTCCACATGTTACATGTACTTAGTATTATAATAACAATAAATTATGCATAATTACATGCAAGTAACCCTAATACTAACCCTAACCATATACTAAGTACATGTAGTTAATTAATAAAAGTGTTTATGGTAAATATATCAGCACATACTGGAAGCGACAACATCCAGCAATAAGACAGGGAAACGTTGCCATTAATTCTAATAATGATGTAGCTGACAGGTCAAATAATGTAATTTTTCTTTTGTATTGCATGTACATGAATCTGTCATCAGGTGAAAATTGGCTTTTAGCATGATGCACACGTTTTGTGCGAAGACATGTACACACTGACAATGATATTTAATCACAAACCATTCATATTCAGCAGTGCATTTCCGAGTATGCAGTCATAACAACACAACATGAAGCTCGAATCTAATTTTCATGCAGAAAAGTGCCGTAGCCTTCCAAAGAACATTGCCTTTAGCAGATCATAACCCGGCCTGATCTTTCCACACACTTATCAAGTAAAATGAGACATTTCAGTATGAATATCATTTTACTTTAGTAAGATTCATCGGTGATGGGCCTTGCCTCTGTGTCACTGTCGCCTACTTTTTCCAAATACATCCAGACATGTGGAGAGGAAGAGACTAAACAAATCTCACAGAGTGAAGTTCCTTCTTAGTAGTGATTAGGGCTTAATTTTGTGCCAAATTCATCTTAAAACAGATGGCTTCGTCCCCGGCAGAGCTGAGCATGATTTGAACACCTCACTTTATCTAACATTTAAAGAGGATTTTCCCTCTAATGAAGTATGAACTTGTGCCCTCCACCCTTTACCCAGTTTTAATAGAGCAAATCACCTGAATATCCTATATGTCACTGCAAGTAGAAATAAATTACATATTAGCATTTGCTTAACTTTTTATTTTAAACTACTGTCAGGATTTTATTCACTTTCTGCAATAATCGTTTCATTAGCAAGTAAATGTGAATGTACCTAGAGAACTAGGAGAAACAAAGAAAAAAGTGACAATGGAATGCTCAAGGTCACAAGACGTCAGCAAACATGACTCGTGGCACAGAATGAACACTTCGCCACCTTTGGCGGCATCTGCTTTGCATACTTTTCAGAGTGGTTTGCGTAAGACGTCTTAATCAGGACAATGAGCCAAAACACTAGCAAAAATGATTAACATAATGCAAAATAAGTAAATAAACACAGTAATGCCACAGTGCACATGCAATGAGTTCCGAGACCGTAGCAGATCATGGCTGGGTTTTAGAGGTAAGAGGAAATACAAGAAAGCTTTTCTTTTGGATTGCTTTGTTTTTACCTTGAACCAGGGACTGGCTTTTGTCTATTTTGGATTAATAAATGCAAGACTCTCCTAACATTTGTTTACTGCTGTGTGACAGAAAGAGGATGGGGGGATCAGCTGCGTGCCATGGTGTCAAAGGAATAAACAAAATAAAAAATAAAAAAAGAGAGGAAAGAACAATGCTTGCATTTCTTTAGGCTTCTTAGCTAGGCATAAATTGCACTTGGGACTTTGTATTGTTTCTTTGCTATCTCCATTAACTTTATCTATCGCCGTACAAACTGCTTTTTGTTTGTGCAAGCGTTGGTATTTCGGAAGATTGAAGTCTCTCATAACCGGTTACAAAACATTTACATCACATTTATATATCACAGTACTATGAACTAAAATATATATA